TTGTGCAAAAATTGGATAAAAAAAATTAATCAGAATAGGATCTATAGGGATTTCATACACAAAAATAGATTAAAAGAAAGTCAAGGTTACAAAATGAGGCATTCAGAAACCTGGAAGTGTCAAAATTAAGGTTGCTACTTCCTTTACGCAGTCTGTAATTATATTATCACACACTATATTATCACTATTTTTCCTTATTTAGTATGAAGGCTGGATAGCAAATGAGGCAGGGATCTGCATTCAGTATGAGTTGAATAAGGCAGAAATAAGAATAAAAAACAAATATTGAATAGTTGCCTCATTAACTGAGTACTGCCCAACCCATGCACTGAACAAGGCAGAGGTCCAGTGGAAAAATCAGTATATGAGCATGTAATACTATACATCTGCATAGGCACACATATCTCATATATGCAGATATGATACAAGTGTCAATATACAATGGACATTCATATCTTCTCCATCTGTTTTTGTACAACACCAAGCATACTGCTAGTGTTCTCATTTTATGTATTTTAGACCATCAGTATTAGAACCTTGATTTATACCATATGTTCATTTGTTCAACAGCACACACAGCACTCTCCATTAGTGCAAAACACCATTTGTTATAATTTATAATTAATCTAGAGTAATATATATTCCACATCATATTGATGTAATTGAACTCATATTATTATATACTATAAATGAAATTTATGTTGACACAGTACATGTTCACCCAGATCAACATTTTTAATGTTAAATATTTTATATATAAACAGCACAATTGTCTGCCTTTCTCCTCCCTCATTATGTTCTCATTAGCAATAGCAGGCCTTCCCCAAGGACTGAGTGTAGTCATTATGATATGCTCCCTATTAGAATTGTCATTGTATTGTACTTTCCCAGAAAGTTTGTGCTGTTTTTTCCAGCTAGCCACTGGTTCTGTTGTCTGTTTTGTTTCTGTAATAGCAGTGATCAGTTTAATAAGTAAGCCAAAACATTGAAACTGACTAACGAGGAATGTGCTTGGTTTGACAGAGGGGATAAACTCTTAGCAAAGGAACCAGCTCCATTAGCAAATTACTTTGAAGAAAATGCTGAATCTATTTTCAGTGTTGCTCTTCTTTTCTCCTTCCCCTATGTATGTATGTTATTGCCTCTCTCCCCCTCTTGCTCTGGGCCCCTTCTATGTCTAATTTAAAAAACACTTCTTTATATTCTGATGGCAGCCTCTTTATCCTCTGGTGAGGGTGTATGAGAGAAAAATCAGTTTTCAGGTCAGTCAGCAACACAGGAAGTCATTGAGAGAGAATATGAAGCCCCATAATGTCATCTTTAGCCACATTGGAAAGAGCAGGCAATAGCACTCCCATCAAAGAGGGACTGTCTCAGGCAAAGAGGGAAGGCTATTGGGAAGGTGCTGTCCAAGGTGCTGCCTTCCCCATGGCTAATTGTAGTCCCATCTTCCTGGGAGCAGTTTGTGATGAAGTGAGAAGAATCGAGAGATGGAAAAGACCTACTAGGTCAGGAAGGGTATGGCTTGTGGAGTTAGTGTCTCCAAGTCCTGCTTGAGCACCCATGCTATGGCGTAAACCTGGGCTTACAATTGCTGGACCTGGGTCTCATGCTAACATGTCCATGCTGCATGATGCTGATCTTCTAACCCAGGTCTGTGACTTGAGCTGTGTCCCACTGCAAAATGACAGGGCTTGGGACACAGCAGGACTCTGGCTCTGACCCATGCCCCTAGCCGGGTCCTAGGATCTGTGTCCTGAGTGCTTGCTGACTTGAGTCAGACTGATTTGTGTGTGGACAGAAGGGGGGAGAGGGGGGTTGGGTTCAAACTTGAGTCAGAGCCTGGGGTTCGTCTGTAGTGTAGACACCCCCCTAATCCCGCATTTCACCAAGGCAGGATTGTTACCTACAAACTGGGTGTAGGAGACTGAGATTCTGCTCTTGGGCTAAAACTGCACAGCAGAATTTCAGTCTACCATCCCCCTCCTCAAAAGAATGGCTTCGGCTGAAAGTTGAGGTGGGGTGTCTTTTGTTTCCCTTGTGTGACGTTCTCGTTGCATGGTTTCCCCCAGCGGATTCAGGCACGGGGTGGGTTAAAGCCAGGTCCCGCAGGCCGCCCGGGGTCACATGCAGGCCAGGGGCACAGCGCCACGTGAGGGAGTGGGCGAGTTCGCAGCGCCCTCTATGGGCGGCTGGCTGCGTAGCCGCTCTTCTGCCGGGGCAGGGTGGGAGCGCTTGCAAAGACGACTGCTGCTGGGCAGCAGAAGGCCAGGGGTGCAAAACAAAGGAACAAATGCAATGAGGCCAATTTAGGCAGAGGGGGCTTTGGGCACAACCTGCCCGGAGACGAGTTGCAAAATCAACTTGCAGTAACACATGCAACAGGGACACTCCAATAGGTATCCCCGGAGAGCTGTCGTGTGTGTGTGTGTGTGGGGGGGGGGTTACAAGGAGGTCCCAACGTGCTGTAGGGATCGTGCGAAGCAGAGGATGAAGCGGAGAGATTTTGGAGGGGGACGATCACGTCCCTTGTCATTTCCATAGGAGCCCCCTTTCCTCGTTTCTATGGGAGAGGCCCCCTCCTGTTTTCATTGGGGGGGGGGAGTTCCTCGCTTTCCCCTGCTATACTAACATTTCATGGAGGGTCCTCTCCCCTCCCCGCACTGCCTCCGTTACCAGAGCTGCTGCTGCTTGGGCAGCCAACCCCCAGCCCTGCACGACACGTGGGTCTCAGGAGAAGGCCGGGGTCTTAAAGGGAAAGCAGACTGCGCCGGCTCCTTTCCTTAGCGGGAAGGGAGAGAAAAAAACCACACTCGTGTAGTTTGTGTCTCGGACGTGTAGATTAAAACGAGGCAAGGCCAGGGCAACCTCCAGCAAAGCAGCCACACGCGGCGGTGGGTGCCTTATTTATAACTAGTGCTGTGAACTCTAATCCGCCCCGATCCACTGTACCCAGAGGCACTTCGGGCTGAGCTCCAGAGAAGGGGGGTAGGAGAAAGAAGGTAAGAGGAGAGTTTCGTTCCTTAACTCGGTTTGCCTGGCGGTGAGCTGGAAGCTAGTGGAGAAAGCAGCTCTGGTATTTCTGAGCAGCCTCTCTCTGTTTTCTACCCCCCGGTGCCACATTGGTTAGCGGTAGGTGACAACAGAAGTCAGTGACCAAGCAGCGGTCCGGGCCAGGGAGAGGCAACACGAATTGACGTGTCAATCAATGTGTCAATCATAATTGCGGAGCAAAGTGCCACAGCGCGCATGGTCCTCACCGCTCAATACGTGATTCACCAGCTGGGCCAGGGCTCCGGCTTGGATCTTGCTCTGATTCGCTTTCCCCCTCCCACTCCCAAAGAGAAAACATCTGGCTGTAGCGTTTCAGCTGTTTGCACGGGACGCTAGAGAGGGGCAGCCAGTTCTGTGGCGAATGGGGGAAGCTGATGCTAAATACTGGGGAGCAAGAGGGTTGTGCGGGGAGCGGCCAGGTGATAAGGGGTAGGAAGAAGGCAGAGGTGTGAGTGGGTGTGTACGGCTGGGGCAGTGACACTGCGCCAGAGGCACGCAGATTTGCTCTCCGAAAGCAAGCGGTGGGACTGGAAAGGAACAGTTCTGGCTGCAGGGGGAAGATGATGTGGGGCGAGGGGTGCAGTGTAAGGCGGGTAGCAAAGCACAAGGCAAGTCTAGGTTTCCATCCTCACGCCTTAGCCCGTGGTTTCCCACAGCTGCTCGGGGGCTCAGCCGTTTGTTTGCTGGCAGTTCCAGCTCCACTGGTTTGCGCTGGGCACGGGGCGCGCAAACTCAGCTTCACACTAAAGACAAACCCTCGAGCTGTAACCCGTAACACCCCCCCCCCCCGTCTAAACATAAAACGTTTGGCACATCAGTGGCCTCTGGAGCCCCCCTTGCATGGCACCGGAGTAGCAAAGCCCCAGGATCCCCTCCGACTCTGCGCGTGTGAATATTGGAATTAGAGCGAATCAATCCTACGAATTTTGTTTTATCAATTCCTTCCTTCTAGCAGGACGGTGCCCGTTGCGTGAGAAAAACCTGATCCTGTCCAAGAACCCCTCACCCCTTTACCCCGCAAAAAAGTGTGGAAAATTAACGCGTGAGGAGTAGGATTGAGAAGGTCACACACAATCTGTTAAAACCATTGCTTTAGGGATGGAGAGGGGAGAGAAATTATCCGGCACTCCCTCAACTTCCAGTGTGTTTGGAGCGGTCTGGACAATTCTGTACAGTTCTCACACTGCATCGATTCCTTATTCTACATCCTAGAAATGCATGATTTATAGAATCCATACATAAATAAATAAATAAAATCAGTCATCGCTAATTAGTGCCGAGAGCTCAGCTAGCCAGCATTTGCATTTCGCTGCTCTTTATGCCAAAGGTTTGAAACCAGGAACCGTTACTTGAAGTTTTTTAAACATAAGTGTGTGTGTGTGGGGGGGGGATGTTTAAAACAATATTTAAAGGAGCCTTATCAGCCAAAAAGCCTCTGAACACTTCTTAAGTATGTTATATCTGGGCTAATTTTAGAAAGATTACAAAACAGTCTCTCTCTGGGTTTGTCTCTCTCTTTGGAGAAGGGAAGAAAGTATAAATGTTCAGCGTTAGAGCGTTATTTCACTGCAAGCTGAAATACAGACACTGAACCCTAATTAAGGTGCGTTCTTTTTGGGCTTTGAAAGTGTAAAGTGGTGAAAAGACATTAGTGTCCCCTCCAAAGCAAAGTCACGTCCTTAATTAAAACTACAATACTAGTGAACAAAACCGCTACTGGCATCCATCACGATCAAAGAAGCTCTGGTGAGGAAAGGGTTAAGAACGCAGAGCTTCTTCGTTAGCAGATTTTTGACCCCCCCCCTTCCCCATCACAGATAAATTAATTTGTTACGAAGTGATAGCATCCAGTTGAGCATGTGGTGATCCTTCATCTGCGTCAGACCTGTGTAAACAGATGACACTACCACAAGCACTGGGCTAGACTATTTAAGGAGCAGCATTAGAAACTGTTAGAACTTATCTAACCTGAGCACTACTCTCTCTCTGATTTGAACTAGGAAAAAGTATCTTACTTAAAGGTAGGAGATGATGGGTCAGTAACTTTTTAGCCATAGTTTGGGTGAATCTTTGCTTATAGAAAAATGTAAAAATGATGTGACTGGCTATTTATTTGTCTACTTATTTTTTTAATATGAATTTTCAGTGTATTCTTCTCATGAATATTCTCACAGGCATCTTCACTAAAAAAATTTAGATCTTTAATATTCAGGACATAATGTTCAGCTCTTTAATATGTGGGGGTAGGGAATAATTCATGTTTCTATTGTTCTTTTTACCAACATTTTTATGTCATTAAACAAACTATTTTATATCCTTGAAAAAGACCTTGGAAAGCAAAATTATGTTTTAGTTTTGTAACTGAGCATCTAGTTCTCTAGGGTAGCACAGCATTTGTGATGGGAAGTGAAAATTAATCATGTAAATGATAGAAATATAAAATCATGAAAATGAACTAATATATGTATTTAAATATTGAACTTTAGGTTCTAAGTTACACTCGTTATATGAAGTAGCCAGGTTAGAACACCCATCTCTACATGAAATGAATATAAAGTATATGCATTTTATAAGTAGCAAGGATGTACTTGATGCCTCAGTGACAAGATATTAATTATGCTGGGGCTGTAGAATCCTGAAATGCTACCACTTTGAAACTTTTCTTTCATCTCATAACAATTGTGATGAAAACCTGTTTGCCTCACATTAAAACATTATTAACTCTAATGTATGTGATGGGTAAATTTGCTTTAACAGTTCATATTTGAGACACAAGTTTTTTTTGTATATTGTTAAATAACTCGTACGTTTTAGGGGTTCTTAGCCATGAAATATTTCATATACACATAGAAAATAGCATTCTAGCATTAAGAAGTATCCAGTTCAATATTTCCTCTTGAACAATGGACTGTTTACAAACTGAATACTTACTTTACATATCTTAACTATAATACACAGATTTGCATTAAATAGTTATATAAACTGAAATAGAGTGCTTCTAGAAATGTAAAATAAGTCCTATGTTTGGATTTTATAGAAGCAAGAAAATATCCATAACACTTATTCTCTGTTTTACATGAAGAAACATATTGTTCCAAATCATTCTATGTCTAATTCTTAAACAGCTTTGAAAATTCACCTGAGACCCATGTTTATTCCACAGTTTTTCAATTGTTGGAGTATGATTTTGTTTTCCTTTCCCTCGGTGACCTTTTCCCTCTCTCTCTAAGATATGGTAGAACAGCTGGAACAATTAAGCACAAACAAAATACATGTTGCTAAAATAAACATTCTTTACCAGCTTTTCAAAACTGAATATTTGTATCACTTGTATATTTTTAACAAGATGGTGAAATACTGACATGTTTTGTCCTGAGATAGAGGAGGAAATACAACATAGAGAAGAAGGCAGTTCTTCAGCAAAGAGCTTTGCAATGGATTGATTTTATCTCTACTTGTACCACTATACAGCCCTATCTCTCTACTGCCTCTTAAATCTAGAAACATTTTACCTACCAGTCAAATACTCTCTTGCCAATCTTCTCTCGTTTAACACTGTTCCTTTGTTTACTGTACTCTCTCAAATCTAGTTTGTTCAGAAGTCAGCACTTTTTTTAAAAAGGGAGGGAAGCGGATAGTATTAAATACAGTGAAGTTCACCATTCTAACAACCTCTAATTTCTTTTCCCTCCAGCTATGTACAGTGGTATCTGCATCTACATGTTCCTTGCTATGCTGTCAACGAGCTCTTTTGGACAGCAGGCTACAGGCTCGCACAATGAGAATCCTGTGGCCACTGAGCTTGAGCAGAGCTTGACAGAACATCACCGACATGTTCGTGTCCCTTCATCTGCTGGCCAGCTGAAACCTATCCAGCGGCTGGATGGAAATGTTGACCAAAAAGCCAACATTGGAGCTTTGCTGGCCAAATATCTCCAGCAAGCCAGAAAAGGTAATAGCCAACGTATTATGCCATGTGTCTGTGTCAAAAGAATTCCCTTTGAGATTCAGTACTTTTATAGATTCATAGATTTTTAAGGACAGAAGGGACTACTATGATCATCTACATTTGTAAAGGAAATATTGAAAAATATTAATAAGGAATTGAGCATTTGCTTTTATACATGTACAGTAAGAATCTATCTTACATTTCTAGTTTCATGATTGCTTGGAGTACAATAGAATTGTACAACTGCAAACATCTGTGGTGTTGCAGCTAGGTTTGTTGCATACAGTGACAACAGAGTAGTGCAATTTAAGGGCTTGATTCTTCAAACTCTTACATTAGTTGCACTTACCCACCTGAGTAGGTAATGAGACAACCTACATGAGTAAGGATTTGTAGGCTAGAGGCCCACAAAACATATATTTGCACAAAATAAAATGGTTTACAGTATATACATTATAGTATATACTTACACACAAAGAATGACTTTAGAAAAGGAATGCTTTCCCCCTGAAAAGCTAGATATTTGTTCTTCCAAAAGAGTTACTGGATTTAAAACACTTGCAAATAGTTATCCATTCAAACTTCCCTGTAAGGGGCTCATTCACTTTTTTTTTTTTTTTTTTAATTAAATGCTCTGCTCTGAAAAAGAGCTCAGTTTTGTATCTGAATACACCGGACTATTGCTCGCGTATTCTGGGGGGCAGGCTACTTGCAGAGCATTTCCAGTGAGCAACATGGCTGCCAAGTGCAGCAAAAACTACTACACGTGATTTCAGAGGTCTTTTAATCTGCTAAGTCTCCCTATATTCTACACCCTGCATTGCAGGAAAGGAGGATATCTTGGAAGTGAAGGGGATGGGTGTCAGGGCCAACAGGAGATTCTTTGCCTGCTATTACACAGCTGTTTTGATGTCAGGCAATTACTTCACTCCCAGACCAGAATTATCTCCCCTCATGCACTTAGGATGAAATTCACTTCCCCCAAGCAGTGGCCTGTCCCTTTCATTCCCCTTCACATTGGCCTATGCAGGGCTGACAGAGACCTCTTCTTTGTCACACATACTGAGGCCTCATTGTAGAGCTTATATTGTGCTGGCCTCCACACTATGTTGAATTTCTTCCTTACTCCTGATAGGACTCTGCAGTATATGTCATGTGTGTGATATACAGCATATATATTGTCTGCGTTTTCACACACACACGTATTCATACTTACATATATAAAATGGTCAAGTAATAAAAAAGTTATAAGCAACTGGAAAAAATATCACTTCTGAGCATGCTCTGAAGACGTCTGAACAGCGCCTAATCATGCCAAATCTAATCATGTCCATTCTGGAGTCCAGTTTAACAGTAAAAGTAATATAAGGAGGAGAAGATCTGATGTTCATTTAGAAAGATCAGTACTATAATTAAATGATTTGTGGGACTAAGCATTATTATTACAGGAGATCTATGAAACAGAATCTTCATTATATCTCTCCAGTTTTATATTTCCATCCTTCATTTCCTGAAAATCTGCTGTTTGGAAGTTTATCTATTTATTCTGTTTCAGTATGGTTTCATAGTTTGTGCATTGTCCAAAATTCCTGACTGGCATTCCAACTATCTCAACCAGGTATCATGAAAGAACACTTTGGCTTTATCTTAAATGTTACCTGACAGAAGACATCTTGTATCTTATTGATTTAGCTCAGATTTCTTAAAAAAAACCACCTATTTTTAGAAGTATGTTCATAGTCCTTAAAGCCACTGTAGGCATATGATACAATACTTTCTTCTGACCTGGTAGAGGTCAAGCTTGATTCTAGCCCATCGCAGACAGATGGTTGGACTCAGACATGTTAATGAACTTGTAACAGGAGAGGATAAAGAATTCAGAGGGAAAGGACAAAAATATGTAACCTTTGTATGGCTGGATCTCATGAAAAGCACACTGTGGCCTCTCATTTACTTCCCCTTCAAGTCCATTATCTACCAATTATATTCTCCTCCTTTAGCAGAAGACCCTTATGGCTTGTGTGTTCTAGGAGGGGTTGCTCAGTGTAGTAATTTCATCAAGATAATATTGCTTTTAAATTTAAAAAATGGCTGATATGAAGCTTCCAACTGATATATGATGACAAATCTCAAGATATCCCCTCAATTCCAGTTTTAGTCACTTTGGGGATGTTCAATCCATACCTACTGGCTAGAAGACACTACACATATTGGGACTTTTGCTGTGCTAATAATGATTAGTGGTGATGTTTGTGGTTATGATTTGTGGAGAGGCATTGCCAGTTATAACTGTGGGGAAAAATAAGTTATTATCTCACGAGGTTAGGGTTGGGTTCTACCATCTTTCAAAAATGGCTGTAATTTGAAGCTGAATTGTTTGAAGGCCAGTGGCTCTGTAGAGTCTATAGGCCATCTTCAGAGATTTGAAGGTAATTAAGATGACCTCTATTTTGATGTTAAGAAATTCAGTTTACTGTGCATGACCTACTAGCTCTTTGAATTAAGTTATCCTAAAAGTGTTCTATCATGTATCTGGCAGCTGGGTAAAGGAGACACATTGTGGCTGTCAAGTCAGAGACACATGATTTAAAATTATTTGTCAGGGCAGATCACAATGGTTCTAAAAGAGCCAATAGGGCCCAGTGGGTAATTGATTTGCAAACTCAGAAGTCTTTCAAGTAGAAACAGTCCCTGATCTGAGTGATGAGCTGTTCCAATGGTATCAGACTATACTGCCAAGAAACCACATTCTCATTGCCCCTTAATTACATACTTTGAATTATGTATGTGAATTTCTCAGCTTCTGAGCATTTAACTGATATCCTTAATTTGTTAATCAATCAGACTTTTTAGTAGTTAAATTTTTGCCATTTTGGTTTAAGTAAGTGTCTAAAGAGTGGAGGAGGGGGATCAATTCAGTTTATGTCCTCTCCTCTACAATCATCGACAAAGTGATTAAGTTCCTAACCATATGTTCATTATTTTGTTCTGGATCGTTTCCATCTGTAAAGAAAACTCCATCCACATAAAAGTCCTGTGGCAGCAGGTGTTCCTTTAAAATATAAATTCTTATATAGTAAGAATATTCTGTAGATTTGAGGATTTTTTAAATGTTATAAATTTAAAGACTCACAGATCTGGGTCAAAGCTAAATATTAACAATATTCATGTTTGTTCCTGTTCCCATTAAAGTTAATGGGACCTTTGTCATTGACTTCAGTCATAGAAGGTTTAAGCTTATTTTTATAATTAGAGTATTCCTGCACATGAGGTTAAAATGTATCCATGGAAGTGCAAATTTTCACATTCTTTGGATAGAAGCGGAGTCAATTAACATTTTAAAATCCTTTCAGTTCTAATGATGTAACGTGTTAAGACAGATGAAGACCTTTCTTTTTAATCTCCGGGCCTTGATTTACCATAGAAAATGTTGGCCTTACATCTTATTAATGCTTTAAACATAGATGGACAAAAAACCAAAAGCAATAGCGGAGATCAGCACTCTAATATTACGACAGAAGGAAGCATAGAAGAACCTTAGCTTGATAGCAGAAGTTGCCCCAAAGTAATAGTACTCAGAGTTCCAGCACAGTTGTATCTGCAAGTTCTAGCAAGACAGTTCTCACATACAAACATGCCCAGCTTCTCTGGAAAACCTGCATGTCTGAACTCCGTCCCGCTCCTAACAAAGGTACATTGTAAGAATATGTATTCTCGTGCTCTGCACCATCTGTGGCTCTTTAGGCAACATAGAGGACTGTCATGGAGTCCTCATCCCAGGCATGATCCTACTCTCAAGTAGATTTAGCTCATCACAGAGCATTCCATACACTGCCTAACAAACAAGAGGGAGACATCAGAGAGAACACTGAGCAAATGGGCTGAAGCCAGCAGGTCCCTCCTCATCCCTCTAAGTGGCCAGGCAGTGAAGAAAAAACATGCCCCCATTCCCTCCCAGCAGCCAGGGATGGGGATGGGGAGAGGGAGGAAATGACATGCCAAATGGAGTCACAGAAGAGACCCACAAAATAGTTAATCCAAGGCTCCAAGTTCCACAACGTGGGAGAACCCCCATGCACTGAGAGAAATGTGCAGATTATTAGTCAGGCTGTACACAAATCATAATGCACACAATTACAAATGCCTGTAGCAAACCACCAATGGATATGCTTTTTATTTTGAATAAAAGCAAATAATTCTGAGTACATTCCTCCCATGTTTACATTATTTTCCAAAAAGGTGCTGTAAAATTTGTATAAACCTCACTACTGTACATATTAATAAGTGACAGATACAAAAATGAGATTTGGGGAAGCTTAAAAACTGAATTCACTTATTCTTTGCCCCCTCATGTCTCATCTGTTAGGTCCTACTGGAAGGATCTCAATGATGGGAAACAGGGTACAGAACATTGACCCTACACACAGGATAAACGACCGAGATTACATGGGCTGGATGGATTTTGGACGCCGCAGTGCTGAAGAATACGAGTACTCCTCTTAAAGAACATCGAACTATCTCAAAAAGAAGAATCCTACTCCCATTTCTGTACAGAAGGAAAAAAAATAATTTTTGTCCTCTACGAATCAGTGTTTAAAAATATATATTATGTCCTTGATGTAAATTCGTCTGTAAAACTATACAATGCAATATATACATATGCAGAATTTTCCAAAAAAATGTTCTCTTTCTCCTATGGTTTCTTATCATACTCTGTTGATATTATATTAAAATTATTTCATTTATTCCCTTCTTGTCCTGTCACAGCAAGTTGCTGGGTGTCTTACAATAAACTCAAGCAGGAAAATGCCTTCATTCTACTAGGTAAATATATTACATGTGTTAAGCAAGCATACAGGTGAAGAACCACTTTTTAAATTAACCTTGCAGCATTCTCTTTGGTTGCTCTAGAGGTAACCTGTCCAAGCATCAATCTAGTAGCAGTTTTGTCACAAAAGGTCAAGTATCTTCATAGTTACCCTATTTGTAAAGGATTCAGTTATACAACAAAGCAGGGCCGGCTCCAGGCACCAGCTTACCAAGCAGGTGCTTGGGGCAGCCACTTCGGAGAGGGGCGGCACGTCCAGCTGTTTGGTGGCAATTCGGCGGACGGACCCTCACTCCTGCTCGGAGCGAAGGACCTCCCGCTGAATTGCCGCCGCAGATCGCGATCGCGGCTTTTTTGTTTGTTTGGCTGCTTGGCGCGGCCAAAACCCTGGAGCCGGCCCTGCAACAAAGTCACATGTTTTCAGTGAATGGTCAACAGTGCTAAATCTTTAGAAAAACCTTTCATCTTCTTGGCTTAGTTATTTTCTGTTGTGAATTAAATGTGAAAATTCTGCTAACAGCTATCAATCATGGAATAAATAGAACATTCCTTGCCTTGTGGTGAGTTATACATTTGTTTTGGGTTTGTGAGGTAACCCTGTAAGTACAGTTCTTTTGAGGGAGGTGGAAGGGAAGTGCCATGTAGTCTACATCAAAATAATTGTAATTATATCTATATCACACTGTTTTAAAAAAGTAGGTTGAGTCTTTAAATCATAGGTTAGGCCAATACTTCTATTGACTTCAACCAGGAACAAAGTGCATCTCAAGTGACTTCAGCCTCAGCCCAACCACTGCCCAGTCCTGATGGCTTTGTATCAAGTGAAAAAACTCCCATTGACTTAAATATGATTTTGCCAGAGTAAGGACTTCAGGATTGGGCCCAGTATCAGTCTGTCTCCCATTCCCACTGAGAAAGCTCTCATATGCATTATAGAATGTTGACTAATGTACTTTCCATATAAGGAGAGGCATTACCCGAAAAGAACAAAGACAGATCCCCATTAATTCAATTGTATAAACATGCTTTACCTACATGAGATATTTCTGACCAACAACAATAGGACAGAAAAGTTTCACGAACCTATGGGAATATAACTGCTCACCTTAATCAGAGACTAGTTAGTTGATTGTGCTCTAAGAGAAGTCCATGTGCTGTTGGAGGCCTCCATTTTTAGCAAAGACACTCAAGGGATCTCAAAAAAAACCCATGTCCTCTTTGATCTGTAGGAATAACAGGAAGGTAAATCTCAAGCTATGTACAATATTTTTATTATTTATGTAGATATTAAATAATAAAGCCATCTATCCAAGGTTCTAGGTGCCCTGACATTAATAAGCATGCAATAAATAAAATAAAATTAATCCTCAGCAGCACCGAAATCAGTTCTACAGGATGTTGGCCAACCAGCCCATCTTCAAAGTATGCCCTCAGCCTTCTCCAGAGACCTCATCAAACTTTCAGTGGGATCAAAATCTAGTCACCAAGGCATATAAAACTTGCATTTTCAAAGAACAGGCAATGACATGGTGGTGAACTCGGTGAAAAAAATTTCAGTACATTTTTACAGAGGAAATAACCTGTTACTCTTAATAACGTTACCATTGCTTCTTTATGAGGAATGAAAATATCAAGTGACGTGCGGCAGAGAAATTGAAGCACACAGCTAGGAGCTAGAAGCATTATAATTCTGGCTGAGACAGTGATTAAGATTATGACCTTGGTGGAAGACAATTGTATCTCCTTTTGTCTCACTCAACCCAGCTAATCCACTGGGTAAAATATAAAACTTTTTAGAAAAACCAGATGTTGCATCTGAACTAAGCTTCACTGGGTAAAAAATGCCAAAAGATAACCAGACCATATCATACACTGCTAACTTCTCTACTTAAATACATAAAATTGCTGACATTTAACTTGCTACCAACATTGCTCATCAGAGAAAAATGTGGGAATAAGGAATGTTGTCAGAAAGTGCAATTAGAGGATGGTCTGAAATGTACCTGCAAAAATGACATTGTGCTATGCTGTTTTTATTGGATAAAACAGTGACACGATTGAAGTCCATGGGGGGGGGTCAGGATTTCACCTGTTATCTCTCAATGATTTTCAGATCAAATTTGTTCAGTTTACAAGCCCAAAGCTGATTTTTCTGAGTCCTTGTGTGAGAATTCAGTTGATGATTTGAAAATACAGTTGTATCTCTTTATCACCCTTTCTTCTACAGCTTCTGCAATCAGACCTCAGATGACATGTCACTCATGATACAGAAAGTGGAATAAAATCCAGTTTCTAACTCTGGGCATGCACACTGCAGGCTCAGGGTGATGACCAGCACCTAGCTAATGCCTCAGCAGGAGCCTCAAACCAGGTAAAACTTGGCATTTCCTTGCCTTGCAGGGCCCAATCTGGGACGTATGCTCTGAGCACACCTAACTGCACATGTAACAGTCACAGGGAGAAGGAAGCAATGGCAGTCTCCCCTATAACCTTTAGCGTTGGAGTTGGGGAACTCAACTGCAATGTAGAAGAGCCTGGTCCAATTCCTTCTTCTGCCTGATGAACAGAACAGGTTTGAACAGGGGTCTCCCAGGTGCATGCCCTAACCACTGAGCTATGGGATATTCTGATGTGTGACTCCCTCAATCTCCGGTTCTGTGCCACTGCGTATTATCTATGCATTGCCCTGGAGAATGTGAGTGAATGACTCTATAGTTCAGTGGATAGTGAACTCACCTTGTAGGTGAGACGCCATTGTTCATATCCCTTCTCCTCCTCAGGCACAGCTGGGAATTATAGTGGAGTATCCCACACCCTGGGAGCATGGGTGGTGAGTATCAAAGGCAGGGGAAGTCTAAGCCTACCCAAACTGCCTGTGTGGCCCTGCCTACACTCCACCCCCAGGCCTTTCCTCTTTTTGTGTGGCGTTAGGCGTGTGCCACCACCTCTGTTCTTGCAAGAAAAGACTTAGGTACCTGACTCAAAGAGAGGGTTCTTTGCTGTGGATCCAACCTCCCCCCAATCTAGGCACTAGGGGCTTAGGCCACACCCCTCTCTTCAGCATGTGCTATTGGTTAGCTGAGGCACTCCACACCCAGCGTACACTTGCTCTTGTGGATCCCATTCTTAGGTGCCTATCTCTCCCCATGCATCGCATAGGCAGCCTGGGCACCTAACTCAGGCTTTGTGGATTACATGCCTGGGGAGTGGGATGGTTATTTTGTTAACGAGGCTTGGTGGCCCAGAAGGAAGGGATGTGAAAATGTTCTGTTTCAGCTAGCCTGTTGACTTGACCCTGTTTCCTGACTGAAAGTGATTTTGTTGGTGTACTTTTAGGTGCCCCGTCATGCCTAAATGTGGCTTGGGCCTTGGAATTGAGAACTTCTGGGAGTGGAAATGCTCCTGAGGGAGAACTTGGGTCAAGGCACTGGCTGAGAGAGGTGAGGAAAAGCCTCTCAGAGTTGTAGTCCCTGGGGGTCAGAGGAACTACTTTAGTTCGGTATTTTGCCTAAAATTCTCTTCAGCGAATAAGCTGTGCCCTTAGGCAAGGGCCGGAAACAGATTCTGCGGTGGCATTGCTCCTTCCTGGACTGACAAGCTAGCTCTCCAGCTTACAAATTCCTTTATCTTTAAAAGCGTCAGCTGTTTCCAAAAGGTAATGGCAGACCACCTTTCTGCCACATATCTATTTCCAGTAACTCCAGGAAAGGACTCAGGTTTTCTTCCCACTTAGTTAAAGGCGACCTGCAATGAAGGACGAATTCTATGGCACTCTATAAGGTTAGGCCTTCTGTCTTTTGCAACCCCTTTGACATAGATTATTAGTTCCTATTCCAAGCACAAGTTTACCTTTTACAAACTCATTGCTCTCCTCAAACTCAAAGTATTCAACCAGTTGCTATAGGTTTCTAAAAAAGGCTTCAACTGTGTCCTCCTTCACTTTGGAGCAACTGATGAAAACGTGCTCTCTGATGTTATATTCCTCTTATGGACAGGATATTCATAATGCCTTTGGAAAATATTATCATGATCACCCTCATCTTTTCTGCTGCTAAAGTGGGTTGCCTTAAAAACCATTCTCTTCCTCTCTTACTTAGGCATCTCCTATTTCATTCTTTAGCTTTGAGGCATCACTCCAAGGCTTTGTAGCTCTCAGTATCTTTACAAGGCCATGATGGAAAACTCTACAAATTCTTCCCTGGATTAATCAACCTTAATATTTACATTGAAAGGGGACATCACACTATTGTATTAGGAGGATAGACTTTCTATACAGCAGTTAAACACCCAAAATGAAGCCTTGAAGTAAGAGAGAATCCCAAAAACTGCACTATAATATGGCTTAAGGGCTTAAAATAGGGTCTCTGTGTTTTAACACTATATTTCCCTATTCCATTGTTCTGTTTACAATTTAATGAAGATAAATAACAAACCAAATATGTAGTAAAAGCAAAGCAGAATCTCATTAATTTACAGAGACACATTAACAGAAAGGATGGATGCTTAGTGGACTTCCTGTGTGACATTGAGCAAGTCAGTTAATCTCTACGACTCAGTTGCTCATTTGTAAAAAATTGAGATAATGTGTCTTTTCTCCACATATGAATAGAGAAGATAGGGAACTGATCAAGTAGACCTGACCAAATAATTGATTGATTGTTCAGTAGCTGAACCAAAACATTAAAAAAAAAAAAGTTTCAAACTGAAACTGAATTTTTTCAGATTTTCTTCACCAAAATAATGTTGGTGAGGTTGATATTTCATTTTGAAAATGTCATTTTTGAAACAAAATATCAAAACAGCTGATTTCAAAAGTGTCAAAACAAAACCTTTTGACATTTCTTGGGGGGGAAAATCTGGGTATTTTTCATCCAAAACTATTT